TTAAAAAATCCTTTTTTTTTTTTTTTTTTTTTTTTTTTTTTTTTTTCTTCTCTCCAGTAAGCAGGGTGTTATTTTCGGTAACGTTACAGTGTTTTATTGTATGTTTCGTTTTGGCAAAATTGCTGATTTATTGTGCTCATTTGTTTTAATATAGAATCGGTGCTTTAATGAACTTGCATTCTGAAGTCTTTAATAAATAAAGAAATGGTACCGACGCACACCACATAAAAGAAAGGCTGTGCTCCAACACACACGCACACAACTGCTGTTTACAGATCAGCCTGAAGGACTTGATTAGTTTGGTGTTGGTGAGATGAAGCTTTGCAGCCAGATGTGAAGAAAAGTGGTTGATTTCTCAAGGTTTCGAATGCATGCTAGACTCCTGCTGATCAATACAAATACTGTGCAGGAGAAACCTCAAGTTTTTTTTTTTTTTTTTTGCTCAGTGTAGTTTTCTAATGTTTCATAATTTAGTGAGCGGTCAGTGGTTTTGTCAAACAGGCGGAAATGATGCAGTTATTTAGGTTGGATAAGAGGGTGAAAGTGCTTCATGTGGACTAGACAGAGGGCTGGCTAACACAGTATTTCTTCCACTGTCTTCAGACTGAGTCGATTCCACCAAAACTGAAGCCTTTCTCAAAGCACTGCGATCAAACATCTCTTCACTGAAGCCTGCTGGTTATTCACAGAACTTACAAGAGCTGCATCAAGTTTAAACACGGTTTGTCCCGCTATTGCTGTCAACAGCAACATCCCCTGGATGAAGAAAACCGCAATAAGTGGTTCTACATTATAAGACCTAATAATTCACTATATTACCGAGCACACTGTATGCCTATTGTGAACAGAGTCGCTGTGTTTGCCTGTTTATTTAAAAACCTCCTCTGTGGGTCTGCGCAATACATGTTAACTAGTTAATAGATGATTCACCTAAAAATAAGTACAAAATAAAATGAATCAAGTCCAACACATGCCTGTTTTAAAACAGTGGATGAGTAATTCACTCTTTGATTTGCTTAATAAAAGTTTAACAGTTTGCGAATGACTCATAATTGCATCCTAATTTAGTTTATTGGTGTTTGGTAACGAAGGGCCTCCTTTGCATCAGCAACACTGACTCAATGACAAACAAGTCATTCATAAGAAGACAACTGAGGCACCTGTATTCATAGCAACTAGTTTCTAACTACTTAGTCATGTGGTTGTTAATCATAAATATAATATATTTGTTTATTATGATCCTAATAAACAGCTACTTCAGTTCGGGTACAGTATTCAGCAATCAAATATTTATTTATCAATCATTGGACAGCTATTTGAAAGTTGAAAACAAACATCTTAGCATTTCAAAATCCTATTTCACCCTCCTCAGAGATTTTGCACTGTTAATGCTCAGCACTTACATCTGTGTAAGTAGTTTCTCAACAATCAAGCACATAAAATCGAAAGAGAGCAACAGATGACACCCTATAGAGCTGCTGCAAGTGGTACAAACTTTGAGACGGACATTGGATTAGTTGTGCACCAGCAGGAGAGGCCACACACGTTTCTCATTGTGATATCTTTTTGATCGTGTGAACTGTGAATGTTCTCTGAACTGAAAGGTAAATGCACGTGTTTGGGGGTAGCATGCTATGGATATTTAACACTGAATGGTTATATTCTTATATTCAGTAAGGAATAATTTTAATATTAATATGTGGATTTTGGTAAAAACATGTTTTTGTTAAGCACTTTATTTCAGGTTATGTTCTGTAAGCTAGGACCTTTGCACATCACTGATTCTTGAGACAAAGCATGTCCAGCAATTGTAACTGCTATTAGGTTAAAAAAATTACAATATTTTAAATTGTAAATGATATGGGGGATTAATAATAGAATGTATTTAACACAATTATCCCCTTCAATATAATTTTAGCTTCCGGTCTCATCCGTGTCCAGCTATTTTTCACACTTTTCAATCAATCAATCAATCTGATAGATAGATAGATAGATAGATAGATAGATAGATAGACACCAGTGTCAAGTCCTATTACACAGAAGAGCTAGTAGCTCAGATGGCTGAAAAAACTTAATGCTGGCCATGATGCGAAAGGTGACAGAACACACAGTGCATTGCATTGCAACCTGCTGGAAGTAAGAAATCCTGAAGACCCCAATTAGCTGGTTCAGGTGTCTTTAATCAGGGTTGGAGCTAAACTCTGCAGGACATTGGCTCTCTAGGAACGGCATTTGACACCCTTGATATCCACCTTTTTCTTGCCATAAAAATGGGTGTGGCCATTTGTAAATTCTATGGGTCTAGCTTCCCGTCTCATCTGCGTCCAGCTATTTTTAGCTGTACGAAACAGTTTGTTTTGCTGCTTGATATTGAAAATTGGTGTGTCTTATATTATTTTAATGTTTTGTTATAATACAGTATTTGACGTATTTGATAGTTAAAATGACTACAGATTCAGGTTTTTGTCACCTCCGTCAGATTAATATTTTGATAATATTTCATTATAATATTTTATATTTGTACACTCTCACACACACGCACAAACACTCTCTCACACACACACACACACACTCTCTCTCACACACACACACACACACTCTCTCTCACACACACACACACACACTCTCTCTCACACACACACACACACACTCTCTCTCACACACACACACACACACTCTCTCTCACACACACACACACACACTCTCTCTCACACACACACACACACACTCTCTCTCACACACACACACACACACTCTCTCTCACACACACACACACACACTCTCTCTCACACACACACACACACACTCTCTCTCACACACACACACACACACTCTCTCTCACACACACACACACACACTCTCTCTCACACACACACACACACACTCTCTCTCACACACACACACACACACTCTCTCTCACACACACACACACACACTCTCTCTCACACACACACACACACACTCTCTCTCACACACACACACACACACTCTCTCTCACACACACACACACACACTCTCTCTCACACACACACACACACACTCTCACACACACATTGAAGTAATTGTATGCTGATTTCTCTAAATAAAGAAGATATTGAGGAAGACTTTGTAATATTCTGGCCCTTGTCATTATCAAAGTTGGCCATGCCTGATATATATCATAATTATTTAAAATATATGTTGTCAGTGTTAGTCTCTGCAGCCCATCGACGAGGTCCACCTTTCAGTCGGTCTTCCATATACAACATGTACACGTGTCAATATAAGGAACTTTGCTACAGTGTAATGTTTTTGTAAAATACTAATAAATAACTGTGATAGTTTAATGGTGTTTTTTAACACTTCTGCCCCTTGAAGGACTGATAGGCAGCTCACTGGTGACAGCACTCTCCTGACAACAACAACAAGAATAGAGTAAATTGACCATTAAAAACAATGTTGCATAGATTATGAAGGGCCATGTCCATTATGATTGATTTGTCTTTTTTTTTCCTGCGAGATCTAATCATATTGGCATGTAATATATTATGAATATAGCAAGATATGAACAGATAACGTAACAATATTAGACTGTGATACATTTACAGTCTACTGCTGTGTGTATTTCACAATAGTACTGTTGTTGTTGTTTTCTGTATTTTGTATCAAATAAATACAGCCTTGGTGAGCAGACGAGACATAAAAGCACACAAAACATTCATAACAATGTCCTGAATTTACAGAATCATTATAAAACTGGTTGGCAACTGAAAAAAATGGACTGTTTAGTTATTATTATTCAAATAAATAAGTGGTGTGGCACGGAAACCGGCACTTATTTAGTTTTAATCTGATGTTATTCGAATAAAGTGTATGGCTCTGATGTGGAAAATGTCTCTATATGTTATAATAGGTTATAATGAAAATGCATGTTTTAACAGAATAATTTTACACTGAATTCATGAAGAAATAAAACGCGCGCGCGTGTGTGTGTCGTGCTCGCGCGTGTGTGTGTCGTGCTCGCGCTGCGCGTGCGTCGGGGCTCAGGCAACATGGCGGAGGGGGAGCTGGACGTGGATTCTCTGATCTCCAGACTGCTGGAGGGTGAGTGAGTGGCCTTCATCCTCATCCTCATCCTCATCTCCGCTCGGTTTGCGCTGACTCTGAGCGGCGAGTTTGGCGGGCTTTTACGCGATCGTTCGCGCGGTTTCTGACCGAGAGGCCTGTGTGCGCGCGGCCTGCGACAACAACAAACTCGAGCGACGTTTCTGAGAAAAACGCGATTAATAAGCTTTCCATTGATGTATGGTTTGTTAGGATAGGACAATATTTGGCTGAGATACAACTATTTGAAAATCTGGAATCTGAGGGTGCAAAAAAATCTAAATATTGAGAAAATCATCTTTAAAGTTGTTCAAATGAAGTTCTTAGCAATGCATATTACTAATCAAAAATTAAGTTTTGATATATTTACGGTCGGAAATTTACACAATATCTTCATGAAACATGATCTTTACTTAATATCCTAATGATTTTTGGCATAAAAGAGAAATGTATAATTTTGACCCATACAATGTATTGTTGGCTATTGCTACAAATATACCCCAGCGACTTAAGACTGCTTTTGTGCTCCAGAGTCACATATAAACAGTGTTGCTAGATTTATCAACTTTGTTTTTTTTTTTTCAAAAAGCACCTAGCAACACATTTAGCTATTTTTAAACAGTTTTTGGCAGCTTTTAGCAACTTTTGTAAAGTGACTCAAATTGATAAAAAAAGGCACATTTTTTCATCTAAATTACAGAAAAGAGGAACCCACTGAACAAGCAGCGCATCAACCTGCAGAAACATGCCTAACCGTACAAACATCAAATGTGCATTAGGTTGCTAGTTGCAATTAATCAATAATAAATACACATGTATGATGCAGCATGTTATTAGCTTGTGTATATTACTGTTGTTCAATTCGCTACACTGTAAGAAAACATGTGGACAAGGTACATTCTATTTGTACAGACTTCTGTGTAGCACACTAACTAGCTACCAGTGCACTGCTTCAACTGTAATTGCTCAGAATGCGCAGTTTACTAGTTAATAAGAAAACACATCAAATGTTTAACTGTTCAATAATTCA